AGAGTGTGTGTGGAGAAACCGACCTCGCCACTGGGCATTGGAGAAGACGGATTGCCAGCCTCCTGCCATGTGATTATGGCTCCTGTGATGTATTGCCCTTTAAAGACATGATTTGGCCATATTGGATTTGTATGGTGCTGCTAGCCCTTTAAGAACCATTTTGGGGCATGCAAACATTTGGGACAATGCCCCTTTTAAATCTGTGTCCCCAGACCTATTTGGGACAAGGCCCCTTTAAAACTGTGTCCCCAGTGTCCCTGGACTTGTTTGGGACACTGCCCCTTTAAGATGGTGTGCCCAATGTCCCCAGACTTTGGAAATAACTTTTAAATTGCTTTTTCCCTTATGGTTCGATAATTGGGGCTTACCGAGCCATTCGCTGCAAAGGCGGACCGCCCAGAGCTGGAAGTGTGCAGGCAATTTACCTCCCAGGCTGGGAGCCTGCTGTAGGTAAATTGCCGAATGCTAGGGGGCCGCCGTTCATGCAAACGAACGCGTGGCGGCGGCCATCTTTTTTTATTTAATGCGGTCAGCGGTGTGTGTAGCCAAATTCATGGAACTGAAATCGGCTACACAGTTCCGCAAACACCGCTGAGCCTTACCTTCTCCCACAACGATTTTGCAGCCGCAGAGAATAAGTCCCATTCGGCGATGGGAGTTAATAGTTTTTTCAGCCTGAAATAGACCGACCGCACAGCCCAAATCTATGGAACTGTTTTGGGCATGAAAATGTGCTTGTGGTCGGTCAAAAAGGGACCTCCAGCTAACCTTTTAACCACTGCATGGAATTGGCTGAATTTTGGATATGTTTATAATTAAAGTGTGCTGAGTTCGAATATGTAATTTGTATGTTTGTGGCATGTATATGTTATTAATATTTTGTAAATACTATATTTCTCTGCCTGTGATAATTATATTAACCATTGTGTTCAGTAATCATATCACAGGCAGAGGGGAGGATTTTGTGTGGGAGTGTCTTTGTGTATTGTATGGATTGATTGGTTGTATTTCAAAACCCTGTGGGCAGTACTATGTTTGTGGATTGTGAATAAAAGAGGCTGTATGTGACAGCACAGTCAGTTCTACTTCACCCTCAATTTGGAGTGCCATCTCTTATTGGGGGAATCTGCTACAAGGGATTTCTATGCTCTGCATATTCCCTTGCTTTAATCACTCCTAAGCTCTTGTAAGAGCTTGTTCCTGCTTCGCTTTGAAGGAAGAGAGGTTCGGCCTGCGGTGGTTGTGGTGTCGGCTAGAGTGCTTGGGTCCTCAAGAGGCGCTAGGAGCATCCTTCAACGGAGGTACCCAGTCGGGATGCCCGTCAATCCGTTACAGTATGTACTGTGTGTAACTGTGATTGTGTCTGTCTACCTGTGACTGTGTGTGGCTTTCTGCCTGTGACTGTGTGTGTGACTGTCTGTCTATGACTGCATGTGTGAATGTGTGTGACGGTCTGCCTGGGACTGTCTGTGTGACTGTCTGCTTGTGACTATGTGTGACTGTCTGCCTGTGACTGTGTGTGTGACTGTCTGCCTGTGACTGTGTGTGTGTGTGTGTGTGTGAGACTGTCTGCCTGTGACTGTCTGTGACTGTGTGTGTGAAACTGTCTGCATGTGATTGCATGTGGGACTCTATATCTGTAACTGTGTGTGACTGTGTGTGTGACTGTCTGCCTGTGACTGTGTGTGACTGCCTGTGACTGTCTGCATATCACTGAGTGTGTGTGACTATCTGCCTGTGACTGTGTGATGCTGCCTGTAACTGTGTTACAGTCTGCCTGTATTTGTGCATGTGACTGGCTGTAGCTGTGTGTGTGCAACTGTCTGTTTGTAACTGTGTTTGTCTGCTTGTAATTGTGTGTGACTGTGTGTGAGTGACTATCTGTGTGGGACTGTGTGTGCATGGGGCTGTATTTGACAGTATATGTGTGTGCACCTGACTGTCTTCGCCCTTCAGTGAGCCAGCAGCTGGGATGTGACGTGATCCTGGCATCGGCGTCGTTGCAGGGCGTGCGAGGGACCTGTGCAGGAAGAGCACAGAGATACCAGCAGCAACCACTGACCTCCAGGAACTGAGTATCCACTCCAGCCCTCCCAGAGCAAGGTAGGGAGTCTTGGTGGACCTCTTAATTATTAAATGTGTGCATGTATGTGATGTTTGTGTATATGTCTAATTATGTGTGGGTCTCTGATTGTGTGTGTATTTATGTATGTATATATATATGTGTATAAAAAAGCAATATCCTGCTCTCATTTTATTACTTTATAAAGTTTTTGTGTGACTGTCTGCCTGTGACTGTCTGCACGTGACTTTGTGATGCTGCCTGTAACTGTGTGTGCATGACTCACTGTCTGCCTGTAACTGTCTGTTTGAGAGTGTGCGAGTGACTATGTACCTGGGACTGTGTGCATGTGGCTGTATTTGACAGTATAAGAGTATAGCTGTGTGCCTCTGACTGTGTTTGACTGTCTTCGCCCTTCAGTGAGCCAGCAGCCAGGATATGACGTTATCCCACATCGGTGTGATTACAGGGCACGCAAGGGACCTGTGCTGGGAGGATCCACTCCAGCCCTCCCAGAGCAAGGTAGGAAAGTTGGTGGACCTCTTAATTATTAAATGTGTGTATGTCTGTGATGATTGTGTGTGTACGTCTAATTATATGTGTATGTGATTGGGTGTCTGTGATTTCATGTGTGTGGGTCTGTGATTGTGTTTGTGTATGTCTGCAATTGTGTGTGATTGTGTGTGTATTTCTGTGGTTAAGTGTGTGTGTTGTGATTATGAGTGTTTCTATATGTGATTGTGTGTGTAGGTCTGTGATTGTATGTGTGGGTCTGTAAGTGTGTGTGTGGTATGTCTCAGTGGTTGGATCCAGAGCCTGATTTCGGGAGGGGCACTTGTAGATTATTTAAAGAAATAATCCAGGCACAATAACCACTACAGCTCAGTGTAGTAGTTATGGCGCCAGTAGTGCCAGGATCCCATCCCAGAGTAAGTAGTCAAATCGTTTAAGAACAGTTTGACAACTTACCTGGGGTCTGCTGGGATATAGGGCATAGGAGCAGTGGTATGTGTTAGGGGTGAAGTGTGTGTGAAAGGTGCAGTGTGTGTGTGTGTGTGCGAGTGCGTGATGGCGGCAGTGTAGGTCAGGGTTGCAGTGTGTGTGTGTGTTAGGGTGCAGTGTATGTGTGGGGCAGTGTGTGTGAGAGAGCTGTAGTGTGTCTGTGTGTGTGTGTGAGCGGTGCAGTGTGTATGTGAGGGTGGCAGTGTGTGTGAGAGTTGTAGTGTTTGTGTGTTTGGGGCAGTGTGTGTATGGGGGCAGTGTTTGTAGGGCGGTGTATGTAGTGTGTGTATGGGGGGCAGTGTTTGTGGGGCAGTGTGTGTGTGTGTGTGTATGGGGGCAGTGTTTGTGGGGCAGTGTGTGTGTATGGGGGGGCAGTGTTTGTGGGGGTGTGTGTATGGGGCAGTGTTTGTAGGGCAGTGTGTGTATAGGGGCAGTGTTTGTGGGGTGTGTGTGTAGGTGTGTGGGGGCAGTGTTTGTGGGGCAGTGTGTGTAGTGTGTGTATGGGGCAGTGTTTGTGGGGCAGTGTGTGTATTGTGTGTATGGGGGGAGTGTTTGTGGGGCAGTGTGTGTAGGGGCAGTGTGTGTAGTGTGTGTGTATAGGGCAGTGTGTGTAGTGTGTGTGGGGCAGTGTGTGTAGTGTGTGTGTATGAGGAGTGTGTGTGAGTGTGTGTATGGGGCAGTGTGTGTGTAGTGTATGGGGGCAGTGTGTGTAGTGTGTGTATGGGGGGCAGTGTGTGTAGTGTGTGTATGGGGGCAGTGTGTGTGTATAGGGCAGTGTGTGTAGTGTGTGTATGGGGGGCAGTGTGTGTATGGGGGGCAGTGTGTGTAGTGTGTGTATGGGGGCAGTGTGTGTAGTGTGTGTATGGGGGGCAGTGTGTGTAGTGTGTGTGGGGGCAGTGTGTGGGGGGCAGTGTGTGTGTGTGTGGGGGGCAGTGTGTGTAGTGTGTGTATGGGGGCAGTGTGTGTATGGTGGGGAAGGAGGGTAGGGAGGTTTTTTAGTACATATTTTTTATTTAATAAAATGAATGTACTTTATGTCCCCCCTCCCTTCTTTACCTTTACTTACCTTTCTTCTGGTGGTCCCTTGGGGGATTCATTGGTGGTCCCAGTGGTAGGAGTGAACTCCAGCCCATGGCGCCAGGTTACCGCGGCAACGCTCCATGCTCGCAAGAGGAGGACCCGGAGGAGCTGCAGACTGAGCTCCCGGGTCCTCCCTCCCTCTCCCTACCCTGCCGGCTGCCAGCAATGTGCCTGCAGACCGGGGAGGGAGATCTCTGATCTCCCTCCCCGGTCTGCAGGCACATTGCAGGGCTGGCACTTGGACAATGCCAGTCCTGCCTTAGCCGGCTGGGGTGAGTCTTGGGGGGGGGTGCAATTGCCCCGTTGCCCCCCCCCCGGATCCGCCACTGGTATGTCTCTGATTGTGTATGTATATACCTACATACATAACCACAGATGTACACACACAGACATACATCTATTGTGTTATTATGGGTGTATATAAATGTGTATGTGTTTAGTAGATAGTTCCCTTATTTGGTGTCCTTAAATATTGAAATCTCACATAAGGAAAACAAATAAGTGAGTTATCTACTAAACACTTGAAAGATTAAAATTAAGAAAAGGCTTTTTTAATTTTGATATTTTAGCTGTTTAGTAGATAATTTCCTAAATTGGCACCCTTATGTGAGATTTCCATATTTAAAGATACCAAATTAGGGTGTTGTTTAGCAGATAGCTCCCTTAAATATGGCAATCCCACAAAAGATTAGCAAATAGGGGAGTTATCTGATAAACAAAGATTGAATTTAAGAGGTGTCAGACAGTTTTTTTGAAGTTGTGTTTGATTCGTTATTTTTATTTCACTTGTGTGAATTCAGTTATTGGGAATAGCAAATACAAATACTTTTAAAAAAGAGACCATAAACAAAACAAATAAGGCAAAAAAAGCTTTAATATTTCTTTGAATATCAGAAACCAATCAAACAATGTATCTGATGCTCATTGAACTGAGCTTATTTTTTTTTTTTTCATTTATATTTGCGACGATGCCAAGGATGCAGGATTCATCTCTTGTATGTCCGAACACATACCACATCACCTATGATACATGTCTGCAAAAAGAAAAAAAAAAAGTTTTCAGTTAAATAAATAAAATTACACTGTGGTTTACTTTAATAGCAATTAATAAATAAATAAATAAATAAATAAAAATCTGTAGAAAAAAACCAAACTGTCACTACAGCTGTCTGAAAGCTGTGAAGTATTACTAAACATATATAAAAATGCTGCAGTGCTTTGAGGGACTGGAGTGTTCCTTTTAATTAGATTTTCTTTTACTCTATTTTGTTTTTAATGAAAATAGTGAAATAAATAATTGCATTTTTTTTGTTCAGGGAAGGCCAAATGGTAGACCCATTAATTGCTGGGCTGCTCCATCTCTCATCAAGCATAGACACAAATTAATATTAATCAATTAATATTATTCATGCAAATAGCTAGTGTAGAAAAATCTAATTCTCTACGTTGACTTTTGTAGGTTAAATTACAAATTAGAAAAATAAGATCGAATGATACTATTTTTATTTTCACACTTAAAAAAAAATGTATTGTGTTGTCGCCTGCTCCCGTAGATCTTAAAGGATCACTATAGGGTCAAGAACACAAACATGTATTCCTGACCCTATAGTGTTAACACCACCATCTAGCCCCCCTGGGCCCCTCATGCCTCCATAACTATAGTAAAAATCTTACTGTATTCAAACCTGAAGCTGTAACTATGTATACTGTTAGACTCAGAAAAACAAGCAGTCTGCTGACATGTGCTAGCCTAATCCAATCACAGTGCTTCCCCTTATAATTGGTTGAGACTGACAAGGAGGCAGATCAGGGGCAGAGCCAGCATGATTCAAACACAGCCCTGGCCAATCAGCATCTCCTCATAGAGATGATTTGAATCAATAAATCTCTATGAGGAAAGTTCAGTGTCTGCATGCAGTGGGAGGAGACACTGAATGTTTGGATGCATTTTAGGCAGTCATGACCCAGGAAGGATCTCTAACAGCTATCTGAGGAGTGGCCAGGGGAGTTATCACTAGGCTGTAATGTAAACACTGCATTTTCTCTGAAAATACAGTGTTTACAGCAAAAAGCCTGAAGGTAGTGATTCTACTCACCAAAACAAATTCAATAAGCTGTAGTTGTTCTGGTGACTATAGTGTCCCTTTAATATCTCACTTGCTCTTTAAAGACATGTAACACTGCATTATACAGTATTGTATAATTCCATAAGAACTTGTTACAGATTGAGATTGGAAAATGGGAAAAGTGATGTAGCAAACTCTTTTCTCTAAATTATGATTGTTCCAAACTCAGTAGGTCAGTCTAATTTGTAGAACCATGTTCCAACTTATGGGTTGGTTTTCTGGTGTCCCACATCTGGAAACACCAAAGACTAGTCCAGAAAGCACAGCAAGACCATATCACTAAATGCGTTTACTCTCTACTTGAGCGTAAATTCAGACTTTAGAATGTTGGACATTATGCACTAGAAACCATTTTATTTCTTTAACACAGGTTGGTCAGTAGACATACCACTATTAATTTTCCATCTATCACCTCCCGTTTGATTGTAGTTGTTTTGCCATCCCATTTTTGTTCTTGGATCAGTACTCCTTTGTCTAGTGTCACAGTGGTCTGAGGTCAAATGAAAAAGAGGCAGTGATTAGTGATATAATTCGATCAACAATATTATGATTATAATCATTTATGTATGTATTTGTTTGATAGGAGTAAGACTGCCATTTGTCAGTAACGCCACCAATAAGCAAAAATATATATTTTCTGGAAATGTTTGACTATACAGCCTTTTATGGGGGCAGCAGTTTGTACATTAAAAATCCCGATAATTTTGTAATAAACAATAGAAAAGGAGCAATACGTGAGAAATATGTCAGGATACATCCTACAACATGAAATGCGTGGGGAGAAAAACAAAGATGGACAAAATGGATGACAACAAAAGTAATATTCTGCATGTACCATTGGAAAAGCTTTGGCAAAATCGAGGCAATGCAGCCCATTTTCTAACATTCTGCAATTATAGGTTCATCAGCATGCATATAATAATATATACAAGGCAAAGCAATGTAAAGAAGTGTAAAATCTGGATATCCCTTTGGGAAATGCATAGTTTTTATAGGAGCCACAGAGTTCAGGCAAGATTCGAGTACTTAAAATTAAAACTATTACATATTATTATTATTATTATTATTATCATCATCATCATCATCATTTATATAGCGCCAACAGTTTCCGTATCACTTTACAATAATATGAGAGGGGTATTTAACTATAAATAGGACAATTACAAGAAAACTAACAAGAACCATAGGTTGAAGAGGACCCTGCTCAAACGAGCTTACAGTCTATAGGAGGTGGGGTATAAAACACATTAGGACAGAAATACCAATCAAATAAGGTGGGAGTGAAGCAGAGCTGGAGGAGAGAGTAGAGTGCTGCCCTTTAGGAGAGAGCAAGCGACAGGTATGTAAGGTAGAGGTTACTCTGGGAGGCCATAAGCTTTCCAAAAGAGATGGGTTTTACGGCACTTCTTAAATGATTGAAGACTAGGGGAGTCTGATGGAGGTTGGCTGGCTATTCCAAAGGAAGGGAGCCGCCCGCGAGAAGTGCAGCAAGCGTAAGTTGGCTGCACGGGTGCGAGCAGCGGACAGGAGAAGATCACGGGCAGAGCGTAGAGTGACCGAGAAGGGGCATACTTATGGATCTGTGAAGAGATATAAGAGGGGCTAGAACTATTCAGTGCTTTAATATGTATGGGTTAGCACTTTGAATTGACTCCTATAGGATACCGGAAGCCAATGTAAGGACTGACAGAGGGGTGAGGTGTGAGAGTACTGACTAGAGAGGAAAATCAGTCTGGCGGCGGCATTCATTACAGACTGTAGCGGGGCAATACAGCTTTTGGGAAGACCAATTAGGAGAGGGTTACATTAATCCATGCGGGAAATTACTAGAGCATGGACAAGCTCCTTGGTAGCATCTTTTGTAAGAAACAGGTGGATGCAGGCTATGTTTTTATGTTGGAATCTACAGGATTTGGCAACATACTGGATGTGAGGCTCAAAGGTGAGACCAGAGTCAAATATGACGCCAAGACAGCGCACTTGCAATGATGGACTTATGTCGATACCACTGACTTGAAGGTAGAGCGAGAGAGGAGGATCAGTATTAGGAGGAGGAAAAACAAGGAGCTCAGTTTTAGAGAGATTGAGTTTTAGAAAGCGTGAGGACATCCAGTCAGAGATGGAAGAAAGGCAAGCAGTGAAACATTGCAGGATGGCAGGGGAAAGTTCTGGGGAGAAGAGATTTATCTGGGTGTCATCAGCGTACAGGTGGTAGTGGAATCCAAAACAGGCAATAAGTTTGCCAAGAGAGGCAGTGTAAAGAGAAAATAGAAGGGGGCCAAGGACAGAGCCTTTGGGGACTCCAACCGAGACAGGAGAAGGGGAGGAGGTATCATTAGAAAAGGAGATACTGACTGAGCATTGGGAGAGATACAAGGAAAACCACAAGAGGACAGAGTCACAGAGACCGAGCGATTGAAGAGTTTGAAGAAGGAGAGCATGATCAACTGTGTCAAAGGTAGTAGAGAGGTCAAGAAGAATTAGTATGAAGTAGTGGCCTTTGGATTTAACTGCAATTAGGTCGTTAGTAACTTTGATAAGAGCAGTCTCAGTAGAATGGAGAGGGCGGAAGTCAGACTGAAGAGGGTCAAGGAGAAAGTTGGAATTGAGAAAGTGAGATACACAAGCAAAGACAAGTCTTTCCAGAAGCTTCAAGGAAAAAGGGAGCAGGGATATTGGACGACAGTTAGAGGGAGAGGACGGGTCAAGAGATGTTTTTTTCAGGATAGGTACTACAGTGGCATGTTTACGATCTGCATGGACAATGCCAGAAGAGAGAGAGCAGTTGAAGATGTGTGTTAAGGAAGGCACAAGACAAGGGGAGAGAGAGATCTGATGAGGTGACATGGGACGGGATCGAGCGAGCAAGTGGTGGGGTGAGAGGAAAGGAGAAGCGCAGCCACCTCTTGTTCAGTAGCCGGGGAGAAAGTCTGAAGGGTAGAAAAGGCATGATCTACGTGTAGTTGAGAAAGAAAATGGCAAGGTGGGGGGAATTCTTTCCTTAGCTGTTCCATCTTGTCGGTAAAGTAGCATGCAAAGCTATCGGCTGTAAAGTTAGTTTGGGGGGTAGTGAAAACAGGGTGAAGAAGAGAGTTAAAGGTGTCAAAGAGATGCCTGGGATTGCGGTAGCATGAACTAATGAGAGAGGAAAAGTAGGACTGTTTGGCGAGGGAAAGGGCTGTGCTGTATGAACACAATATGAAACTATAATGGAGAAAGTCTGAATGGGTGCAAGACTTCCTCCAGGAGCGTTCAGCACAATAGGAGCAACTTTGCAGATAGCGTGTTGATTTAGTATGCCACGGTTGGGGGCGCGTCCTCCTCGAGGTGCATGTTTGGAGCGGGGCTGCAGCGTTCAAGGCAGAGGTGAGGGAGTTATATGTGGAGATGGCCAGTGAGGGACAGGAGAGGGAAGGGATGGATAGCAGTTGTGAATCAATATCAGCTGACAGCTGCTGGAGGTCAATAGAATTAAGGTTTCTCCTGAGTTGAGGGGGTTGGGCTGAGTTTGTTGGGTGAGGGGGTACTGGAGAGCAAACAATAAGAGGTGGTGATCAGAGAGAGGAAATGGAGTGTTGCAGATATTAGATACTGTACATGCATTAGAGAAAATGAGGTTGAGGGTATTGCCAGCTACATGGGTAGGAGAATTAGCCACTACGATAACCTGAGGGAGGAAGTAATTGAAAGTAGTTTAGAGGCTGCTGAGGTCAAAGATGGGTTAATGAGAATATTGAAGTCCCCAAGAATTAGGGATGGAATATTAGAAGAGAGGAAGTAGAGTTGCCAGGCAGCAAAGTGGTCAAGGAATAGGAAGGGGGATCCAGGGGGACAATAAACAATGGCAATGTAAGCAGAGAAGGGTTTGAAAAGGCGAATTGAATGAATTTCAAATGATGGAAAGGAGAGGGAAGGGGGGATGGGCAGAGTTTTAAAGGAGCAGTGGGGTGAAAGCAGGAAACCTACACCGCCACCTTTACTCTCAGTTTGTATGTTAGGTGTCTCTAAGTAACCATTGTCCAGAGAACAAGTGATACATTGTTTCTTAGTTATATAATAAGGATATTACGTGTGCAGGTGTTGTGCTAACGTTGGTTACCCTTAGAGATTGTAATTGATCTCTCTCTAACTGGCACGTAAACTATAAATAGTTAATATTAGGACCCGATCATTAATGATAATATTGGGACCACCACCCTCCGGAATGGGAGATCAGGGAAGGGGCACTTTAATCCTATTATAAATATTAGGACCTGCAACCACCAGCATGTGTGGGGTCCATGTGAGGGGACAATAGGTCTTCCCCCCCTATAGGTATTAGGGCCCCGCCCACTGCCCTGCGTGGCATGGGGAGGGGAAACTAGGGTGTCCCCCCCCATTATAAATATTATGGGCCCCATCCATCGCTTGGGAAGGGGACAACAGGTCCCCTCCATTATTTTAAATATTTGGACCCCCATCCGCTGACATGGGTTGGGGAAATGGGAGGGGTAATTAGGTTCCCTCCTTTAAATGTAACAATGTTAGTTTTAATTTTTAGTGCATATGCCCCCCACCTGCCAGATAGTAATACAGGGGTCTTAATGATCCCATGGGATATTTTTTATCAATATCTTTTTTTCTTTTTTTTTTTACTTAATGTGGCAGCTGGGTAGCATGTGTTGGTCAGCTGCCACATAATTAACTCTTGCATAATTAACGCATGCCCAAGGGTTTTTAACAATTTGCTTGCTGGCTGCTAGCCATTGAAGTTGTGAATGGGGTAGGAGGAATAGGGAACCTTGAGGACATGCACCATATGGCCCTTAGGGTTGAACTGCTTCTAAACGGTTTAACCTCTTAACGTAATGTAAAACATAGGGCCTCATTGTCATACAACTTCATTTTTTAAGCCAAACATAAACCCTAATATTCCTGTTGTGCTGTAGTGTCTCCCCAACCATGAACTAAATAATGCTTTCCTTGCAGGGTCTCATCAAACAAATGTTATCAGTCTATGTGTGCTTACTTGTTTAAAAATAAATAAATAAAAATCTTTCACAGTCAAAGCACAAAATTCTGCTGATGTAGAATATCCTATAGCACAATGAAATTCTAGGACAAGAGGGTAAAAAATGCCCATCTTGATGTTTTGATGTTGCCCATTATCTTGATACCTTACCTTAACTTTTCTGTCATCTGCAGTTTCTTCATCAAACTGTATTCCAAGTTTAAACTTGATCTCATAGGTTTTGAAGGTGCTCGATGTCTTAATTGTCCAAATGTCTCCTTCCAAACTGATGGTGACATCAGCTGACACTGCACAAGCTGCTTTCCTTGTCACAAAGCCGACTCCTGCAAGATATATAAACATATATGTATATATACACCCTGTTCCAAATTATGCAAATTATATTTTTCTCATTTACCTAAATAATTGATGTAAATAACAGTCAGCATAATTCTCATGTTATCAACTATTAAGAATACAAATCAAATTTTATTGAACAAACCTCCTAATGATAAAAGAATTTTTTTTAAACATAAAAAGCTTACAATGCACTGTTCTAAATTATTACGCACAGTAAGTTTCAAAACACTTTATAGGTTGTAAAGAACTGAAAATTGTCATTTGTTGTGTTTGCAGCATATTTACTGAAATCAAAAGCTATTTCAATCAAACTTATAACAACATTTTAACTTTTTAAACATTTTAACAGGTCACGTTACATTTTAACATAGGACCCTTATTTGATAGCAGCTTCACAAGTCTTGCATCCATTGAACCTGTGGGTTTTTGGACAGTTTCTGCTTGAATTTGTTTGCAAGATGTCAGAAGAGCCTCCCAGAGCTGCTGTTTGGATGTAAACTGCCTCCCACCCTCATAGATCTTTTGCTTGAGGATGCTCCAAAGGTTCTCAATAGGATTGAGGTCAGGGGAGGATGGAGGCCACACCATGACTTTCTCTCCTTTTATCCCCATAGCAGCCATTGATGCAGAGGTATTCTTTGCAGCATGAGATGGTACATTGTCGTGCATGAAGATGATTTTATTACAGAAAGCATAGTTCTTCCTTCTGTACCAGGGAAGAAAGTGGTCAGTCAGAAACTGCACATACTTTGCAGAGGTTTACATCTTCGGGGACCCTAAAGGGGTCAACCAGCTGAGCCCTCTATCATTTGTATGGGGAGTATGTAACTTCACTTTTTTGCCCTTAATATGCAAAATATAGGAAAACCTTCCAGGCTGATACAGTGACCTAAAAATCAGTTGAAGAGATCCTGCAATTGCCCACACTTGCCCCTTCGGACTAGTTTTAAATGTTCTGGAGGATGTTGACAAAGTATATGAGGACAAACACTCAGGTCCATTGACATATTCTAATAGTTATGGTGCAAGGAGTCTTTGGTTGCTAGCCCCCCCAATTTCCAAAAATGCTTGAAAATGGTTTTACAAAAAAATAACATCTTAAAACTGACCTCTCTGCTGAAAAAAATTCACTTCCACGTTATCCACTTACAGCTGACCAACCTTGAATGGAAATTCTAAGTTGGAGCCCATCACTGCCAAGGATAGACAGATTTAGATGGATAATGCAATGTTAAACTCTTGCATCATGTGAACAGCCGCAGAAGGACTAAGCTTTGGATGGCAGGAGAGTAACTTGAAATCAGTTTGGCGAAAATAGGGGGATGACAAGGAGTCTCTACTCCTGTACCCTAACCACTACAATTAGTGTGCACTTAAAAAAAACAACAAAAATGTAAAGCTTTAAAAAAACAACTTCACAAACCTATAATAAATTTCCACTTTAACAATGCAGAAAACACAAAAGCCTGATGAATAAAGACCTATATTTTACAAAGTTCAAATGGATAAAAAGAATACAAAAAAAATAAATACAAGGAAATCCGATAAGGTCTATAAGGTCACAGTGACACCTGAAACATACTAAAGCCCTTGTTTTTGAATGAAATGTACCTCTATAGCTCTCACCATACATGATTCCGAGCTCTCTGATGCTATGATAGAGACATTGAGATACAATAAGATACCACAGACATATAGACTATAACAATAAATACATAAGAAAGCAGATAATACATAAAAGAGAAATAAAGACAGGGAAGGCGCCCTGGATACAGCAACAGTCAGCTAACGAGCTATTTGTCCAGGGATAACACTTTTGTTTTTCTTTCTTTCTCTTTATACAAAGAGACATAAAGAAAATATAAAGAGACTACGATAAAAAACCCACTTCTTCATAAAAGCGTATCAATTAAACTGTTAATAGCTCACGACTGATTCCTCTTCTGCAACTGTCACTAGTCTTATACTATCCTTACCTTTTTGTGTCATTTTACCCCACTCCCTCTAGCATGTAAGCTCATTGAGCAGGGCCCTCAACCCCTCTGTCCCTGTGTGTCCAACTTGTCTGGTTACAACTACATGTCTGTTCGTCCACCCATTGTAAAGCGCCGCGGAATTTGACGGCGCTCTATAAATATCATAATAATAATAATATTCAGGATCAATGAGCTATAAATGTACAAGTGATTATAGTATTAGTGAATTGATGTATTAACTTGTTATATATCATCTTAAAATCTACATGTAGATGCATTTCACACTACATGGGAACAGGTACCGTGACATATGCATTATGTTCAATAAATCTTGCATCTCAAGGGATTCAGGACTACACAATATATCCATATAAACCACATGACATCATTTTAAACTAAAACCCTTTATTCCAAGTGGCAGTATTCATCTATGGCCCCTTTATTGTTCTTATTGCAGCACTACTTCTATTATAAAAACATTCAGTGCATGCCTTTGCAGTCCTATACTATAGTTCTATCATTGCATTGGGTATTACTGATTGTGTAGTGTATGAATGTATGTCTGTAGTGAGCCAATGCATACAGGTTTTTATTCAATGCAGTGTGCGAATGATGTGGACAGTAAGTGCATGCACATTTATCTGTTAAGTCAACCGATAGCCCAGCTATATTAAATGGGTATCTTAGTTAGGTACTAATAATAGGTTTGAATTATTTTTTATTATTAAAGGGACACTATAGTCACCCAGTTCACTTAATCTCATTGAAGTGGTCTGTGTACAGTGTACCTGCCCCCCTTAGCCCTGCTATAGGAATCTGCAAAGTTTATATTGCAGTGCTAAGACTGCCTCTTGTGGCTGTGTACCAGACAACCACTAGAGGTGCTTCCTGTAGTTTGACTCTGTGTAACAATGCTGGACATTCACACGCCTTGCATAAGGACAGCCAGCATCAAGCCAAACCTTATTGAAAAGCATTGATTCACTGCTTTCCCATGGGGAATGCATAATGTGCCTGTGGCATATTTGGTCACCCCATCGACAGAGGAGACTGATCCAGCACCCAGGGACATCAGCCAGAATCAGCTAAGTGACTGAAAGGGTTTTTACTCAGGGGGAAGGGGCACAAGGGTAGAGGGACACTATAGTGTTAGGAATTTTGGGCACATTTATATCAATCTAATCTGTGTCTGTAGACATTTACGTAAGGACCATCATATGTCAGTTTGCTTCCCACTGGGACCAGAAGCACTGAAGTGCCAGGGAGTATGTCATCCTCTTCCCCCTAAAATTACATTAAAAAAAAAAAAGAATTACCCAAGCAGCCCCTTAGGTAAGTATTCCTAAGAGAGCGGTACGTGTAGGCAGTTGGCTACGCTGTCCATTGGGACAGAAACTTGCAAAAGAGTTCAAAGCATTCGCGCTGCAAGTTCAAAATATGTTAGCAATGCAACATTAGAAATGTAAGAATCTTCAAGCTGTATAAAACAAGTTATTCACACATTTTAAGTGAATTTCAAATTAAAATTACAAATTTTGAGCCAAAGCTGTCAAACAGTAAAAATGTAAAATTTACTTTAAATTACTGACAATTCACACTTTAGTTAGTAATCTTGACATCTAAAGAGATCTGTCGTCACCAGAAGCACAACATATATTCTAGTATTCTGGAATATTTCACTGCAGAAATTGGCAAATTAGAGACACATTGCAAAAGACTTCCTTTACCTAGAGTTTCTTTAGTTTTTTGTTTTTTAAAAGATAACAAAAAGCAGAAACGTTAATCTGCTAGATTATAGTTTTGAAAGTACATTATTCGTCCTAATGAATGATGACCTTTTGTAAAAGCCACATCATCCTTTTAAACAACATAGAACAGACTTCAAGTATTATTTTCAGAAATCTAGGTTCTTACCATTGAATATAGTCAGAACAGTTTAAAATAGCTCATTTAACATTTTTTATATTGCATCTCATTTTATCATTTTTTTTTTAATTCAACATTTTTAACATACTGCTTATTCTAAACCTCACCTTAAGCAGTGATGATTTAACATACTTAAATCGCATGCGTATGACTGAAGGGTAAAATAATACACTCAAATTAGCAAAAAAACACCAAATGAAATGATTGTTCAGTAATTGGAAGATAAGGGAACATAAAAATATAATGTTCTGTTTCGCTTTGTTTATTATAGGGTTACGAGAATACAAAAACTAGGTAAGCTACATTACTTCATTAAATAAAAATAATGAATTACCCTGAAATGCAAAACTACCAAGAAAATGTAGAGGTTCGTTTACTGAACTAGGTATTGTGGAAAATAGATTTGCTTATTTTAGAGAAAAATTGGAAAAATTCTAAGCTCTTTGCAGTTCGACTGTTTGTGGACCAATATTTCTAGATCCTTGCCTATTCTTCACAGCTTAGTAAATACACCTATGTGTGATTCAGTAAACTTGCAGTGACTTTCAGCAAATTTATGTCAGATAAAATAGACAAATTTAAAATACATGCAGATATTACCTAAGCCCTCCAGATATGCATTAAACATTTCCTTGTTAGCGTCTTCTAATTTCCATTTTCCTAGGTATAACTCGGCCATGGCTGTTGTGTTTCAGGAGGTTATATCTTGAAGCAAATAAACTCAAGACTAACTGTGTGCAACTTAAGGGGATGATTTTTAAAGGAAGAAGAGGCAGAGCTGTAGTGATGTCATAACATACTAAGCTCACTATCGGAAACCTCCCTGCCTACTCTAGAGCTGATTCAGCACTTGGAAGAAAGTCATAAGTCAGAAAAAAAATAGCTCTTTGGCTGTTTAAACAAGAAATGACTTGTTCCTAGTACGTTTACACTAATATAACTTGTTTTTTCTACACACCTACTCTGCATGTTGTGACAAAGCAAAGTTTATTAATTAGCCCTCCTAGCAATCATTGTCAAAAAGTCATTTTAAAAAAAAAAAAAAATTTTTTTTTACTACCATGTATATGATCTATTTGAAGATTTGTTATTCGTTTAGTCAACTTGTTCAAAGCTTCCTACTAAAGATAAAATTAATAGATACATTTTAACATTGAATGTTTTATATTGAAACTAAATCTGCTAAAAGGATAATATGTATATTACAGAATATTTCTGGTTTAGCTATTTTGACCTAACTTTTGAAAATGTTTTTTTTCATTCACTACAATTAAATTTTTAATTTAACTCATACATGTCAGAATGAAAAAGCCAATAATACATAGTTATCATTTTAACATAAGATGCCAATGGCTAATTTGTCAGATACAGAAAAAGAGTGTCAAAAGAACAGTTCATTCAGCCATAAGATTGACCTGTAAAGTTTTTTGCCGTATAGGGACACTCTAAGCACTGTAACTGCTTCACTTCATTAGAGTAGTTATAGTGTCTGGAGTCCCCTGGCACAGTCCTTACATTCAACATCATCACCAATGACAAACATCCCCCCCCCTTACCAAATGAGTATGCAAGTATGATGCAAAAAAATAACTAATAACCCTTCTGCAGGAAGTATTCCTAACAAGGGTTGGTCAGTATGAGTGGTACTCAATCCACTCAGGGCATGAACCCTTCCTTATACATTACAAAATAATAGAATTAGGGAAAACCTCTATAGAGTAATCCCTAGCCAGGTAAAAAGTATTAGACCAGCTGATCGATGTGAATTCAACAGTAAACAATATGGGAGGAAATGGATACTTTTTAGCAACATATTAACCACTCAAATGTCTAATCAGTGAACTACCAGGATTTATTAATTTTGCCTAAAATGAACATCCAAACGACAGTTATATCCATTAGCTAACTAAATGTAAAAATTATTTAAAGGGTCACTATAGTTACCAAAACAACTTTAGCTTAATGAAGCAGTTTTGGTGTATAGAACATGCCCCTGCAGTCTCACTGCTCAGTTCTCTGACATTTAGGAGTTAAATCACTTTGATTATGAACCCTAGTCACACCTCCCTGCATGTGACTTGCACAGCATTCCCATACACATCCTGTAAAGAGTCATCTAAAGTTTATCCTTCCTTTATTGCAAGTTCTGTTTAATTTAGATTTTCTTATCCCCTGCTATGTTAATAGCTTGCTAGACCCAGCAAGAGCCTCCTGTATGTGATTAAAGTTCAATTTACAGAGGAAGAGATACAATTGTTTAAGGTAAATTACATCTTATTGAAAGTGAAACCAGTTTTTTTGCATGCAGGCTGTGTCAATCAGAGTCAGGGGAGGTGTGGCAAAGCTGCATAAACAGAAACAAAGTGACTTAACTCCTAAATGGCAGTGAATTGAGCAGTAAAACCCAAGAAGCATGATATATACACTAAAAATGCTTCATTAAGCTAAAGTTGTTTAGGTGACTATAGTGTTCCTTTAAGTCAAGTGGATAGAGTAATATCTCTCAATGCTTCCTACTTGTATAACAAGTGACCTCAAAGAAAACCCCTTGATTTAACGGCTGATTGAAACCTGAACTGATGGGCCTCTCCCGAGGTAGGGTGAGGTTAGACTTGATTACAAGCAATATTGGTAGGGAGAGAACAACTAAACTGTTGACTTACTTGAATTAAAAATAGGGGGTATTCAGGTCGCAGTATAAGGAAATAAATAGATAGATAGATAGATAGATAGACTGGAGGCTGGATGACACTAGTTAGACCGGTTTGATAGTGAAAGGGAAACAGGGAGAAGGAACAACTTACAAACATAATCAGGTAAGAGTATATATAAATAAAAAAGTTAACATCCGCCAAGGATAGTCAACATTGCTAGAAAGGTCAGAAAAATCTATAACTTATATCCGACAGAGTTAGCCTACAATTGGATAAGTACAATCAAAGACTGAACTATGAACATAGCCTATCCTACATACATATTCCCGATAGGTATACCAAGAGTTCCTTATATAATTACGTTCCCTTTCTGGGATGCTTGAATCCTGAGCTTACAGAGCTACTAAAGTCTTGATTGCAATCCTCTCTTGCGTCTTAATGAGTACTGACAGCTCCAACACTGTTTGTCCCTATTGCACCTTTGTGGGTGCCATAGATATCCACATATGACATATATATATATATATATATATATATATATATAGATGTAAACAACAGATAAAATTTGTATCTTGTAATACCTTTTTTATTGGACTAACAGAATTTTTTAATGACAAGCTTGGTGTACCTTAAGGTAATTTATTACCATCTAATATCATCAGTCAGCTTGTTTCATACTACAGAATGTAAGAAACGGTGGTGTGGCAGATAATAATGATATTGATTAGCAACATCTACCAAATATAAATATCACTCGGTTTAGCAACATTTTGATCCAATTTTGGAACGGAGCTCCTGGTCTGGGTTTGACATTCACTGTCCCCACCTACTTAAGGAATAATTAATGGAGGGTAGCGAACACATCGATAGAAGGGATGATGTCAACTGAATGTCTGAGACATGATAGGTGGAAGCCTTTGGAAGGTGGTAGTGATCACCTCTTTTTAAACCCGAGACTTTCAGTCTGAAAGTTTGACCCTGACGAAGGTGCGATTATAGCGCTGAAATGATGTTTTTAGATCACTACAGCACTATGCACTAATTCACTTTTCCCACCTTTTGCTCTGAGTGAGGATAGAAAGGGGGTTTGCAAGGATCTTCGATATGGATAAGTAAATAGACGGGAGACTGGAGTTTAGCCCTGGATATAGAGATTTTTATGCCTCTGGCACCCATGACAGTGCAATAGGGACAATCAGTGTTGGAGCTGTCAGTACTCATTAAGACTCAAGTGAGAAAATTGCTATCAGGACTTTAGTAATGAATCTATTCTAATGACAAACATTCAGATACACAGAATGACACGCATACAGATATAAACTGTGACACACACTGACACACATGCAGACACACACACACATACAGACACACAGATACAGACATTCACAAACACACACTTGACATTCACACACACACACGCACACAATCATTCAGAAACACAAACATTTTAGTCACCCTCCTGTTTCTTACCTTTAGGTGCAGGAGGGTGACTTCCCTGGGGTCCAGTGGCTACCTAATACTGATGGGAGTCAGAGCTCCCACTCTGACCCCCTTCTCTTCTTCCCCTGCGTTCTCCTGCCACGTGGCTCTGTGTATGCTGGGACGTGACGGCTTCCTCCCAGTAGGCGCTCTGACATCATAAATGGAGCCAAGTCGCGCTGTTAAAACACCGCCGCACAGACCATGCCCCAGGAAATCCATTGCCATCGGGTGGCCCACGCTCTTGGGTCCCTTCATTGCAGCCCCAGAGGTTGCCCTGCATGGCCAGGGCTGCACCACAATGCCAGCAGGCACCCCGGGAGTTCCGCCACTGTGTGTGTGTGAGTATAGGTACGAGTGTGCACTGGTGGTTTAGTGTATATAGGAGTATAGTGTGTGCACAGGAGGCATAATATATGTATTGTGATATAGTGTATGTCTATAGGACTATTTATGGGGGATATAGTGTTTATAGGGGTATAGAGTGTGTGTGTGTGCAGGTGGTGTAGTGTCTGTTTATAGACAGTATAGAGTTTGTGTAGTGTGTGAGTGTAAGTGCAGGGGGTGTAGTATGTATATAGGGGTTATAGAGTATGTGAAGTTCGTTTCAATCCTGTAGATTAGATTTACATTATCATATTTAAACGACTTTCATATTTGAATCTACTCGGGTAGTCAACAATCACCTGAATCGAATCTATTCTAAATATTTACTGCTATTAAATAAAAACAAAATTATTCACAGAATCCTTCAAAAAGTTTGCGTTCTCCTAATTTCTATAAAGTATTTACTAACGAACAACGAATCAATAATTATATATATATAATCCAATGAACATAATATCCAGTTTGATCAACTGTTTCATATCAGAAACAATACTTTGAGTAACACTCGGCAAAATGAATTGCTAACAAAATATTTCTAGAATAATTAGGCGTGATAAACATTTCATGATCCTTAAATTACGAAGTGTTGTGGACATGATAAATATAGTCACAAAGATAAAATACTCTTCACCATGAAAGGGTTAATTCTATCCAACTTCAACACACTAACCCATTTATATCAACAATGCTTTTCATTGGCCTGTATGAAATTTGAATGGACCAATGGGATAATACTTACCCCAATACTACTTCGGCAATTCGTAAAATCTTTAGGGCTCCCTAACCCTAACCCACCCTAACCCTACCTTAACCTTAAACCTAATCCAACCCTACCCTAACCCAACCCTACCTTAACCCTAACCAAACCCCTACCCTAACCCAACCCTATCCCTACACGAACACTAAGCCAACCCTACCCTAACCCAGCCCTACCCTAGCCCTATCGATGTGATCAAAAAATGTTTTATAAAAGAAAAAACCTTTTAATTTGTGACAGATTTAGACACAGTCATAAACCCTACCCTAACCTAACCCTACCCCTACCCTAACCCAACCCAAACCTAACTTAACCCTACCTTAACCTTAACCCTACCCTACCTTAACTTAACCCTACCCTAACCCTGTCAAGCATCTGAATGTCCGAATTTCCTGAAATTCGTCCAAATTCACATTCGGACTGAAACAAATTGCACATGTCTATTTTCCAAGTAGCAACTACCGAACAAAATTGAGTTCCTGTTTTACCCTCAACACAGAGCCTCGTCTGGTGCTTGGGGGAATAGCTATAATCACTA